ATAATTGTGCGTGCAGGGCGCGTTTTTCCTTTTCGTTAAGTTGACGTTGTATGTAGTAAATTTTGCATGGTAATTATCTGTTAAGCTTCACAAAATATTTTTACTAAAAAAAAAAAAAAAGTTGGAGGGGCGTACGCTTCACAAAAAAAAAAAAAATTGGAGGGGCGTACGCTTCACACAGCCTTCTAAATCCGCACTGCTGTATTTCAGTATAAGCCTTTATGGCATAACGATGGTAGTGAAGGTGATAAAGGGCGCAATAAAACGATAACATTAACATTGGTTATTTATTTTTTTATTACTAAAGTAAAATGGATCAACTGGAAATATCCATATAATATAATATAGCTGATAATGTTCTTTTGGTGCCAGAGGTGATGATGTTGACAACATTGATGGTTTAATGAAAAAAATGAATAAATTCACAGCAACAGAATAGACAATATTTACATATTATTTAACTTTATACGACAAGGTGCTTTCAGTATATATTTACACATTACATTAACATTTATATTTTTTTTAAAGTATTTCTGACAATTTACTTTCTATAATTCATAACATATATAATATATATATATATATATATATATATATATATATACTGTGTATTCGCTATAACCTCTTACATAAGGAATTATAGAGACTTCCATGGCTCAGCACAGTCGACAGTGGTAGCCACAAGTCGTGTCATATGTTGGTACGTTGATATCTGTGGTTATCAATGTAGAAGGCAGGCAAGATGATGAGGTTGATGATGATGATAATAATAATAATAATAATAATAATAATAATAATATTAATTATTATTATTATTAACAATATCCGCTTTTAAAGCACTGCCTTTTGCATGTCCCACCATGGTCCCACACATGCTCGGATTATCATTTTAATTACGTAACTCTGTGATTACAATTCTTAGTCATTAATCTTTATGTAAAGAGTGGCACAACAGGTATTATGTAGTTAAATTCAAAGTAAAACCCAAAGAAAATAATTTCCCACCTATAAAAAATAATAATAGTCCTAATAATAATGACGTGTCTGTATTTCGAACATATCTACAGACCAACGGGCCAAAGCCTCTATTACAAAAGACGGATAACACAACCTTTTTAGAAAGTAGCCAATGTTATGTATTTTAATTTTAAATAATAATCAAAAAGAGATCCTAATGACGAGTAGACCTACATTCATGTGTAATGATCGACAGGCAAATATCGGGATTCTGTTTTTAAAGTATTAATATTTGGGATATATTTTCAGCATGCGTCCAAGAGAAGTATTGCAAATAGTAAAGATTGCTACAGTGCTTTTAACAGTTTTTAGACGTAGTAGATGTGTGATGTTTTCGAAAGCGCCTGAAAATGTGGACGCCATTACAGATACTTCACCAGTTCTCAGCTGTGAAATTAAAAACCTGGATGACGGACTGAAATTACGGTGGGTGAAAGATGGAGTGACATTGGTAGAAGAAGAATTTTCAAATTCAAAATATGAAACACAAAAATTACCGATATCTTTCGGTTATTTATACACATTAAAGATAAAGGAAGTGATTGAATCTGACGGAGGGGACTACGTTTGTGAAATCCACAATAAAAAGAATATATTAGTGCTACGATCTGACTCTACACATTTAACTGTTCTGCAAACGCCACCCGATGAATATCCCAAATGCAAAGCACCAAATGACTACTATCTACTTGGTTCTAAAGTCATGGTCAGTTGCATTAGTCAGATAGTTAACCCACCAATCATTCTTACATGGGTAATCGTCGTAATCATAGTTATTGTTGTCATATTAGTCATTGTTATATTGATTCCCGTGTATTATCATTGTATCTGTAAAAAAACCACACCGGTGGATCCAACGGGTAGGGAGATATCCCAGCCTTCAGTGTATTATGACACCCGAGATCGTACTTCGAATAGCGGTCTATACGATCGATCTTTACCTCGTTTACCGAGCACTGGACAATATGGGCACTGGAGACATTCATTTGCATCTCAGGTTCCTGAAGATCTTGATCAACAAGGATACATGTACATCGAGGAGAAACCCAATGAGCAGAATACACTGTGACTTATTAAAACATACATTGATGCAAGAGGCGTGGTTTATTCACGTTAGATTACCGTATCTCACTTAATTCTCAATACGGCATCCAGGAAATGGATTATTAATAGTACATAGTGTCAGAAACCAGAAGATATTGTTCTATAATAAATACATACTATAAGCAAATTTTTACCCACAGTTCATAGATACTATACCATTATGTTTGGTATATATGACTATATATCTTAGAACAAAATACTAAAAAACAACAGTACTGAGGGAAGCCGTTGTCGGATCTCGGTAGTGATACTAGATATATAAGCAGAAGTTAAAATGTAAACGCACTCACTCAGAAACAGAATCAGGGCTTTGGGACAACACTAGTCCTACATAAATAGAGAGTATATATATATATATATGGGGGAAAATGGAATCTGCGAATGTGAACACAATTTTCCCAATTAGGACCGAAACACTGAATCTTCTGTTGTCTTTGTAGACACCTTAACCAACTGGGCCATTTGAGGCTTTCGTTGAAAGTTCGTATCAGATTGGAGGCAATTGATTTCACACTCTTCGGTATGCCGATACAACACTAGTATTCGAACACACATGTGAAACAGTAATTGTTGTGATACGCCCTTTTCTTAAGCATCTTAACGACAAGACGCGATTTCCAAAGAGATACTTTATTATATAAGACATGTAACACGTGAAGTAAATACTATAAATCGTCTCTGCGATGATGCTTTATACATTATATATAAATTATAACAAAAATGAACCATGGAACGTATGGCAAATATTATCAGCTAGAATGATACAATAATACCTAGTACAAAAACTGCTCGGCACAAAAAAATATTCATAAAATTTAATACTAAGTATAGAGCATTATGTTGCTTTTCTGATACGAATACCACGATTATTATTTGTAATGGCTATATATGCATATTAAATATTAAAACATTTCCACTGTAAACGAATGGTCTTAAGAGAGTGAAGCAAACACAATCGGCCCTTGACGGGTGCTTTACTGATGAATTTTCCAAAATTAGTTTTTAAAAATAACACAATACGATGGCTCCTGTTATGTCAAGTTTAATGTATACATCCGATGTATATGTTTTATTTCTATTTATTAGATTGTGTTATTGTACTGTGAGCTTTACCAAAGATCCATTCAACAAAGACGCAGTTATACACGATTCACCTTTTCTGAGCTGTGAAGTGCAGGACCTAAGTTTAACTCAATCTATATCTTGGGTAAAAGATACCATGGACATTGCAAAGAATATATTTGAAGACGATGCATTTGAGACAAAACTACAGGTGACTTCTTCTGGTCATCTGTATACGCTAACCATTAAAAATGTAGTGTTGTCAAATGAAGGAGAATACCGTTGTGAAATACGTGATGACGTAAGTAACCGTCTTATCGCTTATTCTAAATCTGCTCGCCTAACTGTTCTGCAAACGCCAGATGAAAAATATCCAGAATGTATTTCGCCACAGACGGATAATTTACTTAATTCTGAAATTGAACTAACTTGCATCAGTCAGAAGGTAAACCCCCCAGTTATGCTAACATGGTGGATTCATGGAATACAAGTTGTAAACGGAATAAAAACAGAAAGTAAGAATGACCTTGTTTACAGTCACTATAGGTTTACGGCAACTAAGGAGCACAATCTGAAAATTTTTATGTGTAATCAAACGTCATCAATTCCTGAAATAAACCCTAACACGTGTTCTTTTAAACCTCTCAATATTTACTACAAACCTGATATAACCATAGAACACACGAATGAAATTATTGCCGGGACAGATTCTATCATATTTTGCAAAGAAGTCTCCAATCCTCCAGTAACTAAATATATTTGGACCTTTAGTTCTCAAATTCAGAAAAACGAATACCGACCAGACGGACAGGTTTTAAAACTAATAAAAATATCAATTAAAAGAAATGGTTTGAAAATTAATTGTACCGCAGAAAATAAAGTCGGAATAACGACGGAAACAACAACTTTACATGTGATCGAAGAGGACACTGATTATTTTGATGATTATCAAAATAATATACAAAACTCTCAGAATGTATACGAGTTTAATGAAGATACAAAAGACGATGATAAGGTTTCGTTATCAGTAGTAATCGTCGTAATAATTGTTATAGTTGTTATATTAGTCATTGTTATAATTATTCCGGTGTATTACCATTGTATATGTAAAAAAGCCACACCGGTGGATCCGACTGGTAGGGAGATATACCAGCCTACTGTGTACTATGACACCAGAGATCGTGCTTCAAATAGTGGTTTGTACGATCGATCTTTACCTCGTTTACCGAGCACTGGGCAGTATGGTCACTGGAGACATTCATTTGCTTCTCAAGTACCCGAAGATCTTGATCAACAGGGATACATGTACATTGAAGACAGGAACGGGCAAAATACTTTATAGAAACACTATATACTAACAATAAGAAATAATTTAAGTAGAATGTCTATCACCTGATACATACGGTAATGTATATACAAAATATACACCCCTGTTATTTATTTATTTACTTGCATTTACTGTGGCACGCAACAAACCTAATTGGACTTCTGGATCTACTCTATGGCATACCAGAACTGTTTCCATGCTTTTTAATGAGCAAAAATGGACATTTATTACAATGGTGTTTATTAGTTTTTCTCTGAGAATGGCAACAACATAAGGCTCTGACGTTATGAAAGAGCACACATTCACTAATGTGTGTTGCATTGTAATTGACGAATCTACATGCACCCCCCCCACACACACACACCCACACACACACACACACACATATATATATATATATACATATATATATATCTTGTATATATATATGTATATATATATATATATTTATATATATATATATATATGTGTGTGTGTGTGTGTGTGTGTGTGTGTGTGTGTGCGGGGTGTGTGTGTGTGTATATTTCATATATATCTTTCATCGTATACAACGCATATGATTGGCTAAAATATCGAATGGATACTAATTTGGTAAGTTTATCAATTTCTCAATATATTTAACATTTGTTATCAAAAGCTTTACAAACCGGTAAACACAACTTTGATTTGATATTGCCTTTTTATGTTTAAAAACAAACCTGTATTGGCTGCGTCTATAAAACCGCATGCCACTTTGATTCTGCAGATATATTGGTGATTGAAGACAAAATGAATAATATGCGATAGAATAGTTCGATGTATGATTTCCACGGTATAGATATTTGAATTTGTTTTATATAATAATACACAAAAATGGGATTTCCTAATATATTGACGTTGTTTTTAGCAAATTTGTATATAATAAGTGGTTTATCCATTCAGGAGAATAGCAATCGTGTTGAAGCTATCGAAGGCGAAAGAGCCAAACTGTCGTGCCTTGTTCAAGACATACAATATACTCATAGTATATCTTGGTGGAAAGACAATATTAAAGTCAGCAGTGATGAGATTATTCTGATAGAAGATGACAGATATATCAGCTTATTCTTAGAAAACTCATATGCATTGATCATTACCAGTACGGAAAATATAGACAGTGGAGACTATCAGTGCAAAATCTATGATAAAACTACTGAGAACCTGCTGTTATCATCCGGTAATATTTATCTTTCAATCCTACAAGTACCTAATATAAAATATCCTGAATGTTCTACTATTCAACAAGAAAACCTTAGAGCTGGATATGAAGTAATTTTGATGTGCATCAGTGAGGTAATTAATCCACCAGTTGTGCTATCGTGGTTTAAAAATGGAATTCCTGTCAACACACAAGATGTAACCACAAAAAAGTTGAATGGTTTAGTTCATACTAGTTACACATTCATTGCATCTAAACAAGATAATACTGCATCATTTGAGTGCCAACAGTCTTCACAGCTACGTCCAAATAATTACTCTAATTGTGTTATAACCACACTGGATGTAAAATACAAACCGTCGATCTCCATCCAACACACACGTGATATACTCGCCGGGAGTGACTCCATTTTGTTTTGTCAATCCAATTCAAATCCCCCAGTGACTGACTACAGATGGACATTTGAGCCAGAGCTTCAATGGTCTGAGTACGAAATTGACGGGCAGGTACTAAGACTTCTAAAGGTTTCTCTATCTCGAAATGCTACAATCATAAAATGTTTAGTTAAAAATGAGGTTGGTGAAGCAGTCGATACAACAATTATTTTTGTATCAAATGAGAAAATGTTTACCAAGGGGAATTTAGAAGGTGACAGAAAACAAGACGGCAATAATTTAATTTCCGATGAAACAAATTCTACCACACTATCTATAACCACTGTTATCATTGTTGTAGTAATACTTGGAGCTATTCTTGTTATTTTGATAATAATACCTGTGTATTACCATTGTATCTGTAAACAAAATATACCAGTTGATGCATCTGGTAGGGAAATACACCAGCCTTCTGTGTACTATGACACTAGAGATTATGTCTCAAGCGGTCTCTACGACCGATCATTACCTCGTTTACCGAACACTGGACATTATGGCCACTGGAGACACTCATTTGCCTCTCAGGTTCCTGAAGATCTTGATCAACAAGGGTATATGTTCATAGAGGAACGGAACGGACAGAATACCTTATAGGGTACAGAGGCATGACAGTATATATCTAAGAATATTGACCTACCATTATATTATACTACCATTATAACAATGTTGTGTGTCTTAATCTGCAAAGGATTATTAAACCCGTATAACCTTCCTCTGTTATGTTTCTACCAGAAACAGAACTAAAACAGTCAGATGTCTAAGGAAATCTCAATTTGTGATAATAGTATCATGTCGAACCAAATATCGAAAACAATTATTCAAAGAGGAAAAAAATGGGAATAACTTATACTAGTAACGTAAGTTTATTTTTATATTGCCATTGCCGTATAATTTATTGTTGCATTGCAAATGGTTAAATTTTCTGCTAGGATATCTACAAAGTATTAGAGGCACAGTAATGTAAAAGTATGGACCACAGTATCTTATTGTGGAATACATAGAACAATTTTAACTTGAGATAAGACCATAGACTGACAGAATTTACAGCGGCACAATGTGTCATTTTAAATTGGCTTTGCTTTTGATAATAATTGTTTACCGAAACGAAATAACTGGACAGCAGTTTTTACCTGATATGAAAGATGTAAGCGTACTGGAAGGAGAGTCTTTGACAGTAAAATGCTTCGTTCAAGGTGAATTATCGGAGCCTAGAAGCATTGCATGGTGGAAAGGTGATCGTCAATTCAGTATTGGAAATAAGATACTTATCGAGGATTCAAGAATAACTGCTAACTTAGAGAATATTCAAGACTTAAATAGACTAATATATTTCTTAGTTATATCACCAACAGTACCAGCAGATGGAGGGGATTATTTTTGCAAGATATTGCAACCTTATGATATAGAGTCAGAGTTTGCTCACGTGACAATTTTACAAAAACCTTCAACTGAATACCCGCAATGCTTAAGATCAAAGAAAAGCTACATTGCTGGTTCAGATGTAAAACTAACATGTATATCAGAGGTAGTTTTACCTCCTGTGGAATTACGATGGTCACGTAGGCCTACTTTACTAACGATACCACCAATGAGTGTAAGTATAGAAATGCGTGAAAATATTGTTTATAAACATCTTCAGTTCACCGCAAGAAAGGAAGACAATAAAGAAACGTTCGCCTGTCAACAGGATTCAGAAGTTATGTCGGAGACTTTGAATTGTACAATTAGTGATCTTAATATACAATACAATCCTGAAGTGAAAATACGACACACTAATGTAATATATGCCGGAACTGATTCTATATTGTTTTGTCAATCAGTTTCTAATCCTCCTGCAGCGACTTTTAGATGGACATTTCAACCAATGTTAGAACCATATGAATATGAGACTGAAGGGCAAGTATTGCGACTTCTTAAACTAGCAGTCACTAGAAATGGAACGCATGTCACGTGCACAGCCACAAACCCTGTAGGTAGCGGTGTTGATTCGACACGACTGTACATTTTAAATGAAAATAATGTGAACGGTGACGCAAATGGATTTGAAAACAACGGGAAACAAATTAAAAAAGATAAGCACTCACAAGACTCAAACGAAAATAATATTGCAAACAGTCAAGAAGAAAATAGCCAGACAGTATCACTCTACGTCATCGTCATTATCATTGTATTATTCGTGATCATTGTTGTGGTTGTTGTCATCATTCCTGTTTATTACCAATGTTTCTGTAAGACAAGGACTGCTACTAATTTCTCTGGTAGAGAGATGTACCAACCTACTGTGTACTATGACACCAGAAGTCGTAATTCAAATAGTGGTCTTTATGATCGATCTTTACCTCGTTTACCGAGCACTGGACAGTATGGTCCCTGGAGACACTCATTTGCTTCTCAAGTTCCCGAAGAT